TGTTCTCTGTCGGTCTCTTTTTTATTTTCTACGGAATTGTGGTTCCCTAAATGACGTAACGCTCTGGGACTACGCGCTGGTGATGGTGGAGCAGATGCGCTTACGCCGTCTGTTTGTTTGACTCTTATGTTGACAATCTTGGTCTGTCCTGGGTCAGTATGGGTCAGTCTTTTAAATCAGCTTGTCAGAAACCTTGAAGAATTCTTGAATACCTATCATGTTTGACATGCGTCGTATTCTTTGACCCTATATGGTAAGCAGAGACTGGCAGCTGACGTACCGAATAGTAGACTTGTGGAGAACTAGTCTTTATGTTACACCATTTGACGATGTACTCTTCGAAACACTTGCTTGGTAGGCGGTTATGGAGAAAGTTTTCGGGATTGAAGGGAGAGGACAATGCCTGATAATGAAACTTTACATCTGGATGCTGCAAAAATATTATCGATTTTTTTTTACCGTTTTACAGGTTAAATTATGGCCAAAATAGGCAAAGGTGTGCAGATTGGTTTGTCCTGGGTGAAGACAAGACCCGGCGACCTTCCGGACGGTGCCATTGAGACACAGCCCGGCGTCTACATCTGCCGCGCCATGCATGAGGGTGAACAAATTCCCGGAAAGTACGTTCCCCGACTCTCGCTCGCCTATGTCTCCTACGGTGGCGAGGAACATCAGAAGAAGGATTGCGAAGTACTCTGTGACACTTGTTGTCCCGGACAAGGTTGCTGGTAAGCTGGAAACTCCTGATCACCTCTTTGTTTCTAAAAGATGGACCGATGAGTGTCGACTCGTGCACTGTTATATTGTCATATTTAGCGAGTCCGTTACATGTGGCAGCTAACTGTAAGAAGTTTCTCCAATCAAAATTCGAGGAGATATGATTGGTAAAACAGTCTTTGCTATGAGAGATAGAGAGAGAAAGCGCGTGTGTACACTTCAAAACGGACCAAGCGCTGGACATCCAGGGGGACCATATGGGATCCTAGCAGGCGTTTTCGGAAGGTGCGTCATAGAAAAGGCTAACATTTTGCGGTGCGATGACAGACCCGTTTGCCGGCAGAGATCTCGTACACTAGGTCTCATGTCGCCCCCACTTCAAATAATGGTTAAAATTCTGATTATTTGCTGTATGGACCAGGAGGTGCGAAGTGGTGTGCCAAGGTGCGGTCTCTACCGTGCCACCAATCGACGTCCTTTCCCGAAATGCCGTCTTCCTGATTCTCTGTTGACACCAGATCCAAGTAATAGAGGAGAAGGAGGAAGGGGAGGAGGTGGAGGAGGAGGAGGAGGAAGTGCGGTAGATGCGGCGTAAGTCGACTGCCACTATAAACTAAATCACGTGCAAGTCACGGTCCATGCCATCACTCTACTGTGAGCCGCGCGATGGGCATCGTCGGTAACAAGAGTCTTACCGTCGTGTGTGCACAAACAGCAACTTCCGGCTTTGTGTAACCAAACAAGATGTGTGTGTGTGTGCCGTGATCGTTAAGCACAACATATCACCTACCTTCGTTAGGCTGTATCAAGATCGGGGCTTGAGTTACGTGCGGTGAAAGTGTGTGAACTGGACTCCATGTAGTTCATGTTACAAATCACGATCTTCCTCTTATACAGTCTGTACTGATTTCGGGAGAAGTCCTAGGCCTAATACGTCCCCTTTTTACTGGAGGATATATTCTCTGTGGAAGTATTATATACACGTATTGTAGATATGTATGTAGGATTTTTGTTCGAGTCTATATCCTGATCAGTGCATATTGTGGCCAGGCCTAGTCAAACAAGCGAGAGTGCGACCAACCTTCACCCATTCAACCATTAATGCATATAGAAATATGACCGCGCCTTCTGAACGGCGTCCGTTGGTGTGTTGGAACGCGCCCGTGGTGTTGCGAAGACCAGGCGAGTTCAAACAAGAACAATTGAGAGTTCGAGGACAAGATGGAGAAGCCGAAGGTTTAACGTGGCGGCCATGTCAAATCGAATGTCTTAAGGAGAGGCTAGGCGCTCTCAGCCCTTCACGCTTGATTTCTAATTCATATGAAGTCGCTTGTATGCCGCTAGGTTGGAGAAGCTGCCGAAATACTATTTACCGAGATCTGCATTCTTGCAGATGATTTATTGTCTTCGCAGTCTACATGCGCTTCGCCAAGGTATTGTTTACTGCTCGGAATCTTTTTCTCACTGTTTATCCAACTAGTTCACCGTCATGCCAGGTCCTCTTGATGTTTTACTTCACTACAACATGGCCAACCGGCGGATTTAAAACTTTTCGCACACATACACACTTACATTGTCTGTTTTTCAGCTGTGATTTTTGTAATCATAATTTTCGAGTACATTTCAGTGATATGCTTATACGGCCGACCCGATAGTGAGAAATTCAGCGGTCTCGATGAGGTTCAAACGCGTATCAGCAAGTGCAAGTCCTTCCAAGGGACCCATTGGCTGTTTGAACAACAAAAAGGACGCCGATTTTGTTTATAATTAGGTCGGATAATTTGTGCGAGTTTGCCAAAAACAAAACAGTGAGTGACCAAACCCAGGAAATGTTGACTGAGATTCTGAAGTGCGTTTTTGATTAGGAAGGATTACTTAGGCGGGGTTGTCATACTGATCATCATGTGACACATTCCTACAATATTTCCTACACGCCAGGATGTCAGCTTTTGAATGCACTCCTTTCCGATCTCCTGCAGAAATGCACTCGGTAAAAAATGACCGCTTAAATAGCACGTATGTTTTGCATTGATTTTCGATGGTTTTGCATGTAGAGCTATCGACCACGTGGTCTGCCGAAGTGACAGTCCACAGATATACGTGAGCACTCACGTTAGATGCTGATGATGGCAGCGATGCGTCATCCGGCGAATCGGCCTGACGGCTGACGCGGAGGTGGCTTATACGATGGCCAGGCGCGTGGTTCGCAATCATGTTCCTTGACTACTTAAATCGATTAGGTAGTTCGATAAAGTTATTCGTTTTTACTAGTGCACACGGATTTCAGCGTTACCGCATGCGCGACCCCCTATTTGCCCTAATGCCGTTTCCAGACGGCCTTGTAGCCTACTTTAGGCCAGTGTTGGGACGATCAAATCTCACCTCAAGACACTTCCCCTGGCGCAAGCTAAATATCTAACAGCTTTACAAACTCTAAACTTGATAGTTGACTGTTTGCTTTCAAGGGACGAAGTATCCTGACATATCCTGCTGATTGTTTAAAATACAAAGTATCTCAAGTGACCAATATTTTTGTCATAACAGCATGGCAATTATAGACAATCACATCAAAATATCGGTCAATTTATCCTGCTGGCGAACAATGTTACGATAACTTATTGGTGGTGCAATAGTAACGTCAGCTGTTGGTAATATCAGACTCGATCCGTGTTCAAAACCCATCGTCCGTTAGAGTTTGAGGTGTTCAGTTCGAAGTAACGCCCCAGCATCCTCCCGTTGTCCTTTGTTTGGCCAGCTACGAGTGGGTTCATGCCAGTGGAGGCGACGTGCCGAAGAAAGCAATCGTCGCAGGCGTCGCTTCTGACGGACAACCGCTGTACATCGCCAAGGCTCGCGTAGGGGACGAGGTTTGTGGAGGCAAGGTGAGTAGATGCATCGTTTGATTCTTCTCCATGCTGGTTTACTAAACGCAAACTTGTCAGCCTACTGACCCTTTCTGTAAGCCGTCTTTATTCTCATAATATGCCTACTGTTCATTTGATGACGGTTATATTTGGCCACGTGACCCGTAGATTCGCTGAACCAACAGAGGAGCCAGATCAAGGACAGACAGCCGGGGTGCAGTGACACACCTAGGTGCTGGTTCGCGCAGTACCAGCCGCCTGCGACCTCTACCGCCTCCGGGCTTCTTGGCCTGATTAGGACACGAAGTCCAGGTGGGAGAGAAAGGGAGAGTGCGATAGATACAGCGCAAGTCTACTTCCACTCCAAACTCATTCGGGTGCAAGTCCCCATCTATGCGTCGTGGAACACACGGTAGGCATCGTCAGAAACGATGATCTAACTGTCATATTTGGACGTCCACTCCGTTGAGCGACGGTCCTTTTTGTCTACTTGTATTCGATTGAGGTTGTGGAGCGTACTAAGTGCTAAACGCGCTTATTGGTCACTCATGAACGATAGGTCTTCTTTGTTGATGACGATGCTACTTAGGCGACTTCAGTAACGGTGCCTTTCCTTTCAGCGGCGTTATCAGCTCATCAGGGGGCTTCATGTTCAGAGCGCATACAAGTGCTTGAAAGGCCACAAAATGCTCATTTACCGACAAAAATAAAGTACACGTGTTGGGAAGATCGTCCAACCAAGCCCTAAGCACCGATCTCACTCCTGATTAATTAACTCATGCCCCTTGGCGGAAGAGGTATGCGTTGATCTCTTCCAATTACAGGACGGAATTGAGGGCGGTTTTCTGTTAGTTCAACGTAGAAGGATAGAGATCAAGACTTGGTCGTTGCATCGCAGGCGTGGGCATCAGTCCCAGCTATACAGATTGACAGGTCCGCACGTCGTAAAAAAAATAGCCGTTTTGTTGATATAAAAAGGTGAGTACCTTTCCGATGATAACTAGTACCTGATCACGAGCACACAAAGCCCGTTTCGATACTGAAAATGGTCCCTTTTTACTTGACTAGAAAGACTAAGTAGCCTTTTTTTACAAATTTTGTTGTTTCAGGTGCATAACGGCCATTCCAGTGCTTATATGCCGTACCAGGGTGAAGAACATGCGGTGCACGACTATGAAGTCCTGGTTTGGAAGAAGGAGGATTAAACAGCAGTTGGAACTGCTGGCCGGCTGTGATTCTAACCCACTCGGAAGTTCATATGTCTTTTGTCAATAAATTACTCAGCCAACCATCTAGTCACAATTTTTGCATCAAGATGGGAAGTGACTTTTTAAAGACTCGATTGATTGCGCTGTTGAGACAGGATTTGGGGATGTTCCAGTGATCTGAATACGAGATAACTCGCAATTTCAATCCTGGTGATTATGTTGATTGTCAAAAAACAGTTCTGCTTCCATGGATGACTATCGGACGTCGGACGTAAAGCCTAGCCACCAATAGGGCAAAATGAGACCTACCGAAACGAAACTGAAGATACGAAAATAAAGATTTTTGCGGAAATTAGTAAAACCGGGATTATTGAAATGAAAGGGAAACATTAAAGAAATTTTCGGGTGGTTTTTCGGACAGAGTCCACGGATAAGTACGAAAAGTTCCATTTTTACGAGGGAAAGAGGGGGCAGTTCTTGGAGGAAGGACGTGAGGGCAAGCCTTTGTTTTAGGACGCCAAAAATCCCTCAACTTTTTCCCTCAATTACGCTGATAGTGACATAATTCGGAGTTCAATGCCCTGCCGTTCCGAGCAAAATAATGCCAGTTAGAGGTTCCAGATCGGAAGCAGTGGCGATTCAATTTCAAAAGCCCGCTCACAGCGCGGCAATAGCGGACCTGCAGGTTGGCCGGCCATTGGGAGAGCTCTGGACCGTTCAGTCTGAAGGGAATAAAAGTCTTCTGCAGTTGTATGGTGAGTGTGACGGAAGCTAGCCAGTCGTTAATGTCTGACACAAGCGAACAGGCGAGTTACAGGTAGCAGTTAAGAAGACCGAAGCGCGATCACTGGACCAAGAAGATTATTGGCCTGACGTTTCGGATTATCACTCGAATCCATCATCAGAGACAGTCGCAGATAAGGGTAGTGGTGGCACAAGGAGTGCAGTATTTATAGCACGTGGCTGCGCACTGTAATTAACAGCTCTCGCAATCACCGCAGGGATCGTAATTGATGCGGTGGTGGCTTTTCTGTCCGAGTCCGAGTCGCTAATGGCCGCAATTTCATCATCCCTGTTGGGTGCTGGTGTAACGATTGCTCGGCAAATTGGCTTGCTGTCACTGGGATAATGGCTCGACCACTGGAGTCGCTGGTTTTCCGACAACGCAGACCGAAATTCTGTACCCCGTATATGGATGACACCGTTCGTGATCGAACGGGAACAGGTGCTGACTTACAAAGAACATTTCAGCGCCGTCTTCCCGGACATTCAATTTACGATGGAAGAGGAGGAGAAGGAGGAAAACAACCAGCAGGCCTTCCTGGATGTCCTAGTCTGCGCAAAGATTTTTGTGGCCCAAAGACCAAAGTGTTCAGGAAAGCCACAAATACGAAGCAAATACTGAGCTTCAATAAATACCACCCGATCAGTCACAAACGTGTTTGCGTAAGGACGCTACACCGGTGCGTGGAGACGCACTGCAGTGAAATGGAAGACAAGGTTGCTAAACTACAATATCCTGGATGGACGCTGAGATCCAATGGCTACCCGTGCAACTTTGTCAAACAGTGCATACAAAAAGGACACCAGAGACCAAATTCAACCCTCCTCAAATTTTGGCGGAATCTTCCATACGTGAAGTACGTCTCGGAAGCCGTCAGTCGTGTTCTCACTCCACTTGGAGTTGGGGTTGCACACAGGCCTGAGGCAACCATTAGGCGCCAAGTCATGAGGCCAAAAGACCCGCTGCCACGGCAGGAAACGTCTGGAGTCTTTTTCCGGATCTGGTGCAGTTGCGGACAGAGCAACTACGTCGGAGAAACTGGGAGATTACTCCGTACGCGAATTGTCGAGAACGCAGCAGCAGTGAGGCGGGGAGACTATAGTTCTCTGGTGGCGGCACACTCGACGGGACCCGGCCATATTTTCAAATTTCAAGAGGCCGAAATCCTCGCAAGGGGTGACAACCGCGTGAGCCGCGAGCTGCTCGAGTCATGGTTCTCAGGCCCGCAATCCATCAGGAAGCGCAATGACCTCCTTGCTGAGATTTTCCTTGGGCAGGGGAATCTGTCACGTGGGGAGGGCGCAGGTGAGCAATTATCCCAGTGACAGTGAGCCAATTTGCCGAACAATCGTTACACCAGCACCCAACAAGGATGATGAAATTGCGGCCATTAACGACTCGGACTCGGACGGAAAAGCCACCACCGCATCAATTACGACCCCTGCGGTGATTGCGAGAGCTGTTAATTACAGTGCGCTGCCACGTGCTATAAGTACTGCACTCCTTGTGCCACCATCATCTTTATCTGCGACTGTCTCTGAGGATGGATTCGAGTTTGAATCCGAAACGCCAGGCCAATAATCTTCTTGTTCCAGTGATCGCTCTTCGGTCTCCTGAAATGTCTGGCACGCTTACCGCCACTTCCCTGTTCAATCTCTGTTCACCGATTGCTGGGGTGATATGAATGTGCATTTAGAGAATGCCGGCCAGATACTCTAGCCGACGCTCTCTAACCGCCGCTTTAGCGGTCTGCTTCAAATAAAACTGAAACCCTTCGCTCTGACATGCAATTGTGAGAAAACATCGTTCCAGACAACAGCGACCGTCAAGTAGTATAAACGACAAAGGCAACGATGATGGCATCCGTTTCCGTCTTATCTGCCATCGTCTGCAAGCCGTATCCGCATTCTGAGTTGGAATCCTACCGATTATTGAGTTCTCTCAACCTTATGTCTGCTGTGACTGGGAATATCCACTGCCAAATAAGAATTGCGATAGTCAATGCGGTCTGATAACGAGACGCCGAGAATCCGATAGATTCCATCTAGAATGACGGGCAGGCCGTCGCACCGTCATGATCACTCTCTAATCACTAATTATAGTCGACAAAAAATAAGAGAAACCGGAACGATTATTTCACTTTTACTTGTCATAATCCACTAGACTTTTATCCACGGAGAGACTGTATATTGCCGATACAAACCTTAAGGTGAGTCCAAGGGGCCAGAAAGGGATGAGGAGGAGGAGGGGGAGAAGGAGGAGGAGGAGAAGAAGGAGGAGGAGGAGGAGGAGGAGGAGGAGGAGGAGAATTTGACCGCTACAACAAAAACTTTTCTCACCCGATATTTATGTCGCACCCTTCTATCCGTTATCAGGTAGGACAGCAGGGGACGGTAGCGGACGCTTAAAGTCTGCTGTACGTGCAGAATGCAGGTACTAAACAAGCACATGCCTAACGAATTTAGCGGTTTCAACTTTCATCATGATGAGCCAAGGTTTTCCGGCTCAACGGCCACCCCCTCCATATTCAGCGTTGTGCCTTCGCCTTGGCAGATTTAGAGGCCATGCTGGGATGGCGTAAATAAACACCACTTCTGTTGATAGTATTAACGATCTATATGGTTGAATAATTGGCACGCTGCTAGTGAATACAAGTGACGGCATTTGGTGACTTACACGTGGACAAGCAGGCAATCCTCGGACAAATCGTGACCATCGGCGATAAAAAGAAGACTTCAAATCATGTTAGGTTTGTGGTGGCATGGTAAGGGTGCCCTCTAAATACTACGCCCTTCGTATCCCCACTTACTCTTACCTGCGATCGTCTCTGATGATGAGTTCGAGTGAGAATTCGAAACGTCAGACAAATGAATCCCCTGATATAGTTCTCAAAATCAAATTTGGACGGTCTGTCGAGTATTCAAACCATTGGGTGTAATGTCAATTTCAGAAAAGACAGGAGCAGACTACAATCTGACCACTTACATCATAACTTTGAAAGTACAACCTATAGGCTCTGAGTAAGCACAACTGCGTACCGCGGTTTTCTGTTGATACTCAATGAGTTAGCTGACATGCCGTGCCGTATTTCCTTCAGCTGACTTCAAACAACCCTGAAAGCTTACATAACTGCCAGTGAGCGTACGTCTGTAGTTGGTCGGAATAGTTGTATAAGATAGAGACCCAAAAGCACAACGGGACGAGCGAGTTCCATAGCATGATTGGTGAGCGCCCTTCTGCCATCTTATGTACCCAATCCCGACGGAAAGGACAAAGAACCCATGGCTTAATGCTTAGAGGCGTTGGGCTTCCAACAAACAGGACCTGGGATCGAGCCCCAGGTGTCCCACGCTTTGAGTTTGGGTATGACTGGCTGACGACGGCTAAGGAGCCAGAAATGGCTATTCCAGCCACCCTTGTTTTCGTCGGCAATGCCATTCTTCCTATAGTACTCGCTACTGCGCGGCTGCTGGTTGGGCTCGAGAGAGAGCCCGTAAGGCACAAAGGGACGAGTGAAATCCGTAACACGATCAGAGAACGCGCTTCCAGTATTGCATATTCCCGATCGAAACCGACAGGACATCAAGCGCGTGGCTCAGTGGTTAAAGGAGTTGGACTTCTAACCAACAGGTCGCGAGATCCAGCCTCGGGTGTTCCACACTTCGGGGTTGGGTATGATTGGCTGACGACGGCTAATAAACCTGAAATGGCCAATTCAGTTTCCCTTGCCTTTGTCGGTAATGCTATTCAGTCTGAACCAAGCGCCGCCGTGCGTTCACCGGCGGGGTTTGAGAGAGAGAGACCGCCAAGGCACAACTGGACGATTGAGTTCCGTTGCGCAATCGGTGAGCGTCCCGCTACCATGATTGTGACCATTTGGACCGATTAATGGGGACACCTGGCGAGATGTGTGTTGTTGGCACAGAAATCGTACTCAGTGTCCTGCGACAAAAGGTCCGCTCTTCAGTGCCCTAGACGGTTCCTCGATGGGATGCGACAAGGTGTAGTGTGAAACCTGCGGAGCAATTGTTCGTCGGTCCCCTCCTCTGCGCATTAACCTAGCATTGTCACGTGACGAGACGAGGTTAGCCAAACAAAAGTGAGCTAATGCGTCTCGAATGTCGGCCGGCACGCTTGCATACCCTGTCCCCAGGACGAGGTCAAATGTCGGGTGCGAGTGCGCCAACCAATCAGATTATTGGACATTCTGGTACTGCTGCTCTATGGGTCTATAGAAGGTGGGCAAACTCATGAAATGTCAACCGAAATTTTGAAATGCGTTCTCGTTTGGAAAAGATTCATTAAGTAGGGTTGTATAACTAATCATCATGCAGCAAAAATCTATAATAATCCAGTAACCCCAGGGTGCCGTCTTTCGAATGAACTTATATCCGACTGCATTTACCAATGTGGCTTATCAAGTCAATAATATGGATCAAATTCACTGCTAACCTTTATGAACCCTATATGGTCCACCTTTATTACCGTAGAGAACTATGTAGTTTTCCGTACGCGGAAAATATACGGCCGGTAGTTTTGAAACCCCGAATCCTAATGTAACGGTAGAGCGGATTCAAAATTATTCGGGAAATGGAGAAGAATTATGCCTATCCTTCGAGTATAAGATTGGAAGCCGACGTAATTTTCTGCCGAAAGAGCGAAAGAATGAATATTCTATGCATTTTTTCCATGAAATATAATAAAATATTTAGGGGCAGCGAAAATCAATGAGGATAATTCATGCTACATAAGTGGTCATTTTTTACAAAGTGTAGATCTTGCATGCGTCTGGAGGGAAGTTCATTCGAAAGCCGGCATCCCGAAGTAACTGAAAAATCATGAAAATACGTTGCATGCTGACTAGTTTTACAACCCCTCTTAATTAATCTTTTCGAAACAAAAACGCATTTCGGAATTACGGTTGACATTTCATGAGTTAGCCACCTACTGTGTATCAGCTGTTTGAAAAAAATATTTCTTACTTAGTTTAATTTTGAATGATTTAGACTGTCCTGGTTCGGCAAAACCGCTCCTGCGCTCGTCCACACACGTGCGTGTTCCAACGGCATAGCTTCTATTTCACGTGTTCCATCCAATTCACGCGCATTTGTATGACTCACCTTCATTTTCTCAGCGGTGCTAATTATGTAAGCAATGAGGGTGTCGGAGTCAACACAGGCATGTGTTTGATTACTCACCATTAGACGAGTGTCAGTTCGGTCGTCGATTCCGAAGATGTCCTCTGTGTGCCCACAGCAGGGTATACGCGGGGACGGTGACTCTCGTGTCTATTATAGTGATGGCGAACTGGTCCAGTATCTACCGAACTCTCTTCTTACCCATCTACTTGGGCCTAGTTTTAAGGCAGAGGCAAGAGGACAAAAGGTAGTAGAGGGGTGTTCACCGATCATTTTTACGGAACTCACTTGTCCCTTTGGGCTTTACGGGCCCGATCCTGAGCCCAACCAACAGCAGTACAGCGGCCCATGACATGCAGTAGGTGAGCTAACTCATGAAATGTCAACCGAAATTTTGAAATGCGCTCTCGTTTCAAAAAGATTAATTAAGTAGAGTTGTATAACTAATCGTCATGCAGCAAAAATTCATAAAAATCCTGTAACCACAGGGTGCCGGCTTTCGAATGAACCTATTTCCGATTGCATGCAAGAATTTTTTTTTGCAAAAAATGACTACTTCGGCAGCATGCAATTTTCTCATTGATTTTCGATGCCCTTAAAATCCAATAATATTTCATGGAAAACATTCATAAAGGAATTCATTCTTTTTTATATTCAGTAGGCAATCACGTCTTCGTCCAATTGTGTATTTGAAAGGACATTATAATTCAGTTTTTAAAAACTTTTCTAATTCCCGAATAATTTTGAAACCGGTATGCTGTTACACTTACATTCACGGTTTAAAACAACAAGTCGTATATTTTCCGCTTACGGAAAAGAACGCCTTTCTCTACGGCAGTAAAGGTGGATCATATAGGGTTCATACAATTTAGCAGTGGATTCGATCCATATTGTTAACTTTACAAGCCACATTGGTAAGTGCAAAGACATGACGTTTCATGATCAAATATTTCACAGCGTTAAACAATTTCGTATTTAGATACTTTTTACAACCGAATTCTACCCTTCTTTCAAATTTGAAATTGGAAGAAGACGTCATTTTCTCCTGAATGAGTAAAAGAATGGATATTTTTGTGAGTATTTTCCATGAAATATAATTGAATTTTTAAGGACATCGAGAATCAAGGAGAGAAATGTATGTTACTTGAGTGGTCTTTTTTACAGATTGTCGCACGACGAACGGGAGGGAGGCGCCAAAATATACTATAGAAATCTTTTGGCCGTTTCCGGCCTATTCGTCATCGTCAGTCAGCCCCTGCATAACTAGCGTGCCACCCAACCTGGCCAGTGAACGCCCGACCGCAGCCGACAGGATAACAGGCCTGTGGCCCAAAGGTAGTGCAATTCAATCAAACCTGGGCATTGACACGGCTGACTTTTGCAAGGATTTCGGCATAAGGCCGAAAAAGGTAGACACGGCAACAGAGAAACAAGGCCGCTCACAGAACACGCAGCAACGTCATGCCAACGTAACGACGACAACTCAAAATAATTAAGTAGGTCAACAGTCTTGTATCCATCGGACGCGGCTGCATAACCACATCTTACTGAAATAATTTGCTGATAGAAGCGAACAGGCAAGTTCCAGGTAGCAGTTCAGAAGACGAAGATGTGATCACTGGGACAAGAAATTTATCGTTGGCCCAACTGTGAAAAACTCGGCGCCTCGGTGGGATTCGAACTCACGCAGTAAGAGGAGGACTTTAGCGCAGCCAACGCTCTAACCACCTGAGCTACGAGGCCCAGCCGGAAGACGCGAGTTTAATCCCATTTGGGTCAAATTACCCGCCCACCCTACTGCAACGTCTGGAATCCACCAAATCTGATACAGTAAGTTGACTGCCCAAGCAGGATTTTCTAAGTAATTCACCTAGAATCCACCAGATGACTACCAGGTTCGCGTTTTTCATTGATATTTTGGCAGATTTTGAATAATTCATATTGACCCAACTGTGAAATTTATCGGAATGACGTTTCGGATTCTCACTCGAATCCATCATCAGAGGCAGTCGCAGATAACGGTAATGGTGGCACAGGCTGCCGTGGGACCACATTCGCAGGTAATTAACAGCTCTCGCAATCACCGCTGGAGGGGGGGGGGTCGCTGTTGGTGCGATGATGGCTCGTCAGTCCGCGTCTGGGTCGTTAATGGCCGTGATTGCGTCATCCGTGCTGGATGCTGGTGTGACGACTGCTCGGCAAATTGGCTCAATGTCACTGAGATTGTTGGTCGCCCACGCC